GCTGTCGCTTTCGCCATTCTCGTGTAGTCTAAATGTTCAGTTAGCAAAAGTCCTAAATAATTATAATATTCAGTCACTTCAACCTGCTTGTCTCCACAATTGAATTCACACGTAGTTCTATTTACACTGGCAGTCCTGAAGTGAATAACCTTAGACTTATTAATATTCACACACATTGAATTTTCTTGACACCATAAATTAAGGCAGTCCAGTAAAAGTTGTAAATCATTTTCATTTTCGGCAAGAAGCACGACATCATCTGCGTAGGCTAAAATACCAACAGTGTTGTCGTTGATGGAGACACCAATGGACAGACTATTCACAGCAGTTATGAGATCATTAATATAGAGATTAAACATCAGGGGAGACAACATACATCTTTTTTATTTAGTCCACAACCGACGTTGAACCATGGGGTATGTCTTCCATTTAGACGGACACAGCACTGGACATTCTTGTTCAGAGAGGTGATAGCGTTAAACATCTTTCCTTTAGTATTAGTATCTAGTAGCTTGCTTCACATAATTCGTCGATCAATGCAGTTGTAAGCCTTACGGAAGTCTATAAATGCAGTGAATGTCGATTTTGGCAAGGATTTGCGCGTTTCAATAATAGAAGTAATAGATGAAATGTGTTCCGTTGTTGATCTGCCACGTCGAAAACCGTTCTGATTATCCTCTAGTATACAGTTGGTCTCCACAAAGTTTGAAAGCCTCTCATTCAGGATACTACAATACAGTGACAAGTGACAGTGACAAGGGGTCACGGCGGTCCTCTCTATCAATACACACAATCCACATAAGCATAGAGTGATCTAGTTTCAGGATGCATGATGGGTCTATGTTACCAACACCAGCAAGCTTGTAATTCCCCCAACCACAACCTGGTAATCCCCTCAATAGCAAGCTTGTAATTCCCCCAACCACAACCTGGTAATCCCCTCAACCTGTGCAAAGAGAACAGATCGCAAATCGTTTGAAGTTACGCAATGCTGGTCGCGGAGATTCCAAGGATGGGTGACCGTGTTTGGCAACTTGGCTCCCACAACGAAACATGTTGCCTCACCTGACGTACATGACTTCAAAACTACAGAATAAAACCTCCAATATCCTAGCGTCAGTTCAATACAACGCCGAACAGATCGAGAGCAACACTGCGGAGATAGACAGAATGAAGAAGGAGATGAATGAAATGAAAGCTGAATTTGAAAAGCGTCTCCTAACTCAGGAACTATACTCACGCAAATATAACCTACTTATCTATGGGGTGCCAGACGATAAGGACCCGGGGTCCGCCTGCAGGGAGGTATTTCGGGAACTGGGTGTGGAGGGGTCGGACGACATACAGTTCGTCAATATACACAGGCTTCCACGCAAGACAACGGACCCAACCAATTTTCGAGCAACGATTCCCAAACCTATTGTTGTTAAATTTGTGAGGGCTGAAGATAGGCAGAAAGTGTTTAGTGCTTCGATCAAAGGATGGACTACCCTTAAAGAGAGAAAGATTACTATTCGTACGGATCTCCCAGTTATTCTTAAAAAACAAAGGGGTCGCCTTGCAAACCGTGCGTTCGAGTTGAGGAAAACACACAAAGTGCAAACCAGGATCCAGGAGAAAGGAATAGACATCTTTCTACAGATCAGGAAGAGCCCCGCTGACCCTTGGAGGACAATCGGAATCGAAGAGACCCCGTGATTGGAATACTGGCGATGGTATGACAACTGAAACAGGACATAACACTTAAAAATAGTACTGGATACATATATTCTTTTTGACTAAATTTCTATTTTACACAGAGCTGGGCAGGTCATAAGGCAGTAATCAAGTGTGCGCATCTTTAATTAGGATGTTCAAGCGTGAAAGTGTCACTAACTTGTTATTATCTGTGAATCTGAGAAAGACTACGACTCTTGTGTGTTTGTAAACATCACCACGTGTGTTTCTATTTTTAGCATATATTCACTGCGGATTTGACATCCGGGGGTTATTTAGTTATCTGTCAACAAACAGTCCTTACGTGAGTTGCAAACTAACTTATTACCTTTTCGACAAAAGTAAACCTCTCATATTTGTATATGCATTTATGTACAATCTATGTCATTTGTTAAGCGGACACGCATCTGCTTGAGGTTAACTCAGTCAGACTGGCAATGCGACTCTTTTCAATCATGTCCGACCTCGACCTTGAGGTCATGTTTATGCTCTTATCAGCTGGCACACTGACTGCTGTAAGTTTCTACATTGGGTTTGAGAATAGAGCATCAATGCCTTTATTTTGGCTTTTATTTCTGTACATATTTTTGGCTTTTATCTCATGCGCAGTGAATTGGTTCGCGCGGTTTGAACCGGGATCCCCATGAGCACGTATTTACAAAAACCAACATCTCTATACACACACACAAAGAGCCCTGAGAGTATCGGCAAATGAACCAGCCAATGAAAGACTCGTTACACTTAAGTACACGCCCACTTGCTCTGACTGGGTCCGATATCCCGGGGGCTTCGCTTCGAGGGTAGTAAACCCAAGTACAAAATATTGCACTTTTGATTTGCGATTGTACGCTTATAATTTTGTATATATGTTTTTCATAATCAGCAATGTATATTATATGTCATGAATAAATGATAATTAAGATATGTTTAAGTGATGTTTATTTTCTTGGTTGCATCTAAGCTTTAAGTTTCAGAATATACTATATTATTGTTAACTCTTTATGAAGCACGCACGGTCACATTTCCCCTTAGTTTATTTGGAGATACGTGAAGGAAGAAGTGTACCAATTTCGGACAGGTCTTAAGGGACGATCCGGTGCCCCTTCAGGTGTCATGGAATCACTGAAATTAAACAAGAGACGGACGTGGTAGCTGCAACTAAGCTCAACTGTGGTTCAAAGCGGCCTTAAACCCAACTCACTCACTCATTCAAATAGCCGACCCTGATCATTCATCTTTAAGCATAGTTTTCGCCAAATAGTGGGACGGTTAAGGCTGGATTTTGTCAAAATTGTGTACTTTTGATTAGTAGTAGTAAACGTTCCTGGGTGCCTTTGTACAAAGCGATCTTAGCGATCCCATCCGTTAACATAGGCTTACGACAGTCGTAGAGATACAAACGGCACCCAGACCCGACTGACGGTGTCTTCTTCAGCATCAATCGATAACGGCGTAATGGATACACCCACATTTCTCAAATGTCATTACAATAGTCCTATGTAGAGATCAAATCGCTTGCAATGCAAGGATAGTTGTTGCCCCTATCGGGGCAGTGCTGTAGCCTAGTGGTTAAAGCGTTCGCCCGTCACGCCTAAGACGCGAGTTTGATTCCCCACCTGAGTGCAATCATCCTCGATAATCTCCAGGGTATACGTTACGATAACTCTCCACTAAACCCTGGATGCATCTACGGCTTGGCCCGATGATTTTATTACCTCCCTTGGTTGGCTTTTTACCCAATCAGGTGTCTACGCTTGGAAGTTGAGCGTACCAATCACAACTCACTTTCGCTTTTTAAATGATCTAACATATTATACTTGTCAACGCAATAATATATTGTTGCAGATACTCTGAAAGAAGGAGTTCTTGCATATATATTTTAAGGTTCAGACCTTAAATTTGTCTGTCAATTTGTCTGTATGTTTGCCCCCAAAATCTGAGTCGCACTGCGAACAAACTTTGGCGGCTGCGACCGCTATTTTTGTTGACACTGGGAAGCTCGGTTGTAACGGCGGCTTATCTGATTGGCTACTGTGAGAATGCGGAGCCAGCAAAGGGAGGTAATAAAATCATCGGGCCGGTCCGTAGATGCATCCGGGGTATAGTGGATAGTTATCGTAACGTATACCCTGGAGATTATCGAGGATGGGGTGCAATATGTGATGCCCACTTCTACTGTCCCCCGCCGTGGGCAATATTGCTAAAAGCGGCATAAAACTAAACTCACTCACTCTTGTCCTGATTGTGTGAGCCCAGATATAAGAAATACACATTTATTGTAGTACATATATTTATTGAACTTGTCTGTCCCAAGACCGATAATAAATGGAAGCGACAAAACCCTTTCCACGTGCATAAGAAATTTTTGAAAAGAGTCAGATTTAACTGCTTATTCCTTACTCTTTGAACGAATCATCACATTCTGATTAAATAGAGACTATATTTTAAATAATTATGAAGTCGTGGCCGTTTCCTCTGTTTGATCAAATGCAAACAAGCATAGAAATCCCTCGACAACCATTCTTGTCTCACCTTGCTGCTATGCCCAACATTAATGCAAATTTGGCCCACATAAGATATATTAACGAGCCAGTTTATGCCCGTTCTCTTATTCACCAGGGTAGGTTCTGTGCTATAGCTGAATATGTTTCTGTGTCACCAAGATATCACTGTATACAGGTGCGAGAGTATGCTATGTTAAATTTCATTGTTTGTTTTCGTTTTTACGATGGTTAAGCAGGTATTTACAAAGGAGGCAAGCACCGTAAGACCGAATTACTCCAGGCTAGTGAGCAGATTCGTACACAAATATTACATAACAAGGTGTAATTTATCTCACGTTGATGTGAGCGCCGCACCTCGACTCCCTCGTATGTCTGAGGAGCGATGGGGTGGTTAGTGGTTAAAGCGTCCGCTCATCACGCCGAAGACACGGGTGCGCTTCCCTACATACGTGCAATGTGTGGAGCCCATTTATGATGTCATCCGCAGTGATATTGCCGGAATGTTGCTTAAAACAGCGTAAAACCATACCCACACACTCACTGAGTTGGTTCTACACCGCTTGTGACGAGCCAACGCTTTAACCACTTGGCTACCCCTACGCTCCTCGTATGTCTGAATAGTAGCCATGGGTGCAACAGTGTCTTCTCGTCCGAGTTCGCCGTGACTCTTTACATAGATAATAGACCTTCCATCCTAACCTTTACATTGCATATAGTGCTAAAAGTTGAAACCAGGACCTATTCTTGATACTGGTCTAACGAGAGATTTGTCCCTTTCAGAAACCAGCATGGCGGGAGAGGACGAGGTTGAAACCACCCAGAAGAAGGATATGTTGGCGATGGCGATGCTGAAGGGGACGATGGACCTCCATGACAAAGCCGAGAAGTGCTCATACATCCTCAGGATGATAGAGAGCCGGATCACCAGGCCACAGTACCGCCTCCTCCTCGCCGACCTGCACGTCATCTACTCCGCCCTGGAGGAAGAGACGGAACAGCTGAAGGAAGACCCTATATACGGCCCCATGTACTGCCCGGATGAGCTGAACAGAGTTAAGAATCTGGAGAAGGATTTGCTGTATTTCTATGGTACAAACTGGAGGAAATCGGTCACTCCGACAAAGGCGGCTTTGAAATATGCTGACCATATACACGATATTGGACGGAGGAATCCCTGTCTGCTCCTTGCTCACTCTTTCGTGCGTTACCTCGGGGACCTCTCGGGTGGTCAGGTTCTGAAGTTCAAGATGTCTCGCTGCATGTCCATGCCGGCTTCTGGAGAGGGGTTATACTTCTACCAGTTTGACAAAGTCCAGAACGCCATCAGGTTAAAGAATTACTTGATGGGAAGAATCAACAATCTGGAGGTGGAGCCGGAACTCTACAACGACCTGCTCCAAGAGGCACGCCTTGCCTTCCAGCTCAACATTGACGTGTTTGAGGAGCTGGAACCAATAGCAGAGAGGATTAACAGGCTTAGAAACCCTCCCCAGAACATCGTGCTGTTCGAGAAAATCTGGCAAGCGTCTACGGTTATGCTATCATTTGCTGTGATGTACAATCTGTCCAACACCCTTTCCGCCGTTGTGTGAATGGCTGGGCGGACTCTATGGTTTCCAATATGCAGTGGCGTGTGAAAGCCAGACTGCACTGTCGTCGATGTACCGACAGTAAGTGGTTTGGCTTCCATACACTTCATATTATTTCACTGGCAAAGTGTGCCGTTCGTTATGGATAGCACTCACAATCTCCCCCTTAACATGGAATCAAATAACCATAGAACATTACATAATGAAATGATGTAGGTGTTTGGCGTGTCGCGGGCTGTTCACAGAATAGGTTTGTTGTGGTAGTAAATATTGATTCTTAGTGCTATGCTTCATTCGCTCAATTATGATTACGAGTGTAATTGAACGAATATCAGGTCACCCTTGACATGGTTATGCGTGCTTCCTGGTGTCTATAGTTAAAGCTCTTGATGTTATTTCCCATTTGACTAAGCTATCTATTCTGGACAGTACATATATGTACCTCGCTATGAGACGTGTAATACCGATACATGTAACAGCCCGCAGTGTGAGACCAATATACAGAACAAAACAAGTGACTGACCATCAATGTTTTGTGTAAAAAACTAGAATTCTGTGCAGAGTTCACGTAAAGAATGTGATCAGCTTTGTGATATATACCTTATGTCACGTATCGTGTTATTATCTGAGTCTTCACGTAAAGAATGTGATCAGCTTTGGGATATATACCTTATGTAACGTATCGTGTTTATTATCTGAGTCTTCCTCTTGGACGCCATGAGTGTTTTGTGTGTATGTAACATATTCACATTATACAGCTGTTCAAAGTTTTTAACTTGGGCTTTAATAATAGGCCTGGCTATTTATTGTCCAACATTTCGGCAGATTTTTACTTAACGCCTGTAAATAACATGTTTGTTTAAAAATTGACCAGCAACTCTTTTACGGGTATGAAAACGAATGGTTTTAAATATCCATACTCAAGTTTTAAACCGCTCGTGGTGTTGGGTTTTCTTTGCTGCCGCCAAGCAGTGGAATCTGGAAATTACTGAACAATGTTATAACCTACCCTAATTACCGTATTATCACCGATATCACCGGTAATTACGCTATCAGGTGTCAATGGCGTGGACATGGGGGCATGTTCATGTTAACCTTATATATATGGATGTAGCATGTTTTATCACTGCCATTCTATTTAAAGTTTAATATTTATACAGCAACCATGCTCAATAATGTTCCTGACTCAGGGTTTGCACCCCCCTGCTGTGGCTGTGCGGTATTCCTCTTCCTGCACTCACTCAATATTGGGTTTGTCGGGTTCGGGACCACTCGTGTCTTTCCGGGACCATTCGTATCTTTCCGGGACCTCGCCCGCAGTCGGCTTTCTTGCTGACTTGGTTAAGTCTTAAGTATCCACAGCCAATCAATAGCCCACATTCCTGTCGTTCTGATTAGTGCATACCTTTACTTTGTCACAATCACGTTAGTACTTTCTCCAACCAACTTCGACTGTATGCGTCAACATTTGATGATACCCTAGAATAAAAAAGTGCGGAGGTATTCTAAGACCGGATTACATATGTTCCTACGCACGTTTTGATTGGTTCATCCTGCTCATCCAAATGACGTGTATGGACGGGGACACCTTGAATTTACGGGGAAAGACAAGAAGTTAAGAATTAATGTTAATCTAAATGGACTGATGAATAATTTGCATGTTCATAACTTTGATTGTTGCACCAAAGAAAGTGTGATTTTACATTGTAACATTTCTATGATTTTTAGAACTCCTATGTAATTGGAAGTACCAGATTAATAAAAACATTACCATATATTGATATTATTCTTTATCCAAGTATTGTTTGATTCCGAGGGCTCCCTGCCTTTGTGGAGAGAGCATCGTCGGTGGTCAGATCCACGACCAATGCCATGAGACATCGCGCTTGTATGCTGAAAGGTGTTTTAAGAAGAACAGGTTACAACTGGTCTGCTCGGGGGCAGTGTGTGTGTGTGGTATTACTGTTAAACTGCGTCATTGGTTAACACTACATGTATAAAAGCGGTGTTACGACGTAAATTGTAATAAAAACGCAAATTGTAATACTGAAGACGTGAAGGGAGGCATTGACAACTTCATGAGCGCATATTATCATATTTATCTAAATCATATAAATTGTTCATTTACATCACATGTGAATCTCTGCAAAAGCGCAATGTTACTGTAAACAACACAGTTTTATGCACAGTTATACTGATGTTAACATATGTAAAGCATGGAGTCATGATGACTATCGACAGTAACTGTTCATGAGATCGTGCAAGGGCATTATGGGTATTTCAAACAAGTTATCTCATGACTGTAATAGTATTCATTTGTCTTGACTCAGATTAATCACCACCTTGAGTTTAGTAGACTCGCACACTTCATCGAAATGCTGTTGGACACCTTTCTCGCCGGCCCGTCCCCCATCCTAATGAGGATGCATGACCCCGCTGGTCACCCATGACGCCTCAACTTTCTTATACAAGACCAGTTGGCGGGCCCTTCGAGCTTGCGCTGCTCGGGTCCGGTAAGATCTTCATTGATGATAAATCGTGTCAACTGACAAGTTATGCGTTCTCCTAAGGTCCTCATATAGCTTCCCGTCTCGATTACGATTTGTGAATCTTAAATCTGAATCTTATATGTGTTATTCAGAATGGTTGCATTGTATTCTCTCTTCAGAAACAGTTTTAAAAGGAAGTAATAAAACTATGTTTTTCAATGGCAATGCTAGAAAATAAATTTTATATATACACATACTTCACTTTCCGAATGAAAGCATATATGAAATTATCTGCTGTGTCCATATATGAAAACAACCATAGGAATGTGCTTGATGTTTAACAAATTATGTTCTGGTCACGTGTCCTCGTTGATCATGGAGGGTCGGTTTGCTTGGCTAGTGGTTAAAGCGTTCGCCCGTGGATCCGGGTTCAATTTCCCATATTTGCATAATGTGTGAGGCCACCCCGAGATATTGCTAGAATATTACAAAAGAGGCGCAAACCACACTCACTCGCTCACTCGTTGATTACAGAGTAACAGCATGCTACGAGATTCCTTCTTATCGTTTATTTGCATATCTCCTTAAAGGCATTGTAACTCTTTAATCTTGCATGAAAACGCATTTAGATGATATCAGCTTTTACTGACATTATTGTAACGTGCAATTTGTATGTGTCTCTGTATGGTTCATACACGGACATGGGCGACGGCAAAATAGTCGGGGCTGCATGAAATACATGGACAGTGTCGGTTATAATGAAGTGAGTGGGTGAATTTAGTTTTACCCGCTATTAGCAATATTCCGGCAATATCACGGCAGGGGACACCTAAAATGGGCTTCACACATAGTAACCATTTGGGGAATCGAACCCGGGTCTTCGGCGTGACGAGTGAACGCTTTAGCCTCTTGGCTACCCCACAGCCCAAATAATGGCTGAAAGTTTGTCAAGTTATATTTATCAATAATACCATTTGCAAGGCATTACATGTACTTGACTTCATACTCATAGGCATATATGGAGAGATTATTCATATTGGTCAACCCATTTCGATTGTTATTAAAAAGTCATTACTGCAAAATTTACACTAAAGTACCGTCGTAAATGCTAGAAAAATGCTTTTTGACTTATATTTAAAATTCACAGGTATTACAGTTACATAAATAACAAATATCACTTTAAGAAACATCTACCTAATGTAGACCGAGGGAATAATTTTTTGAGACATGCCCTAAAATGTGTTTTTACTGAAGAAAATACCAAAAACTTAGAAAAATAACGGGTAGTGGGACGTTATTTGATACAAACATTAACTGCCTGTGTTACGTCATCAGCATGCACGGTATCGACAGGTGAAATTGACACCTGAGCACACGCTCGGGGGAAGGGGTCATCTCAATAGATGTTTTCTTCAAAATGTTGAATATGTGTACGTATAGTATACGTATTTGTTATGTAAGGGATCATTTGTGTATGTGTGTATGATGTGTGTTTGTTTTGAAATAAACATACGAATTACTGTACATTGGACAGATTCCTATCACTTGTGTTATCTTATCGATTGATTGTAGAAATGTGCAACGTTTTAATAAATGTTTTGCATGTCAACAGTATATTTCATTGCAAAAATATGGATGTAATTCGGTCAATTTATTCTAGTTGTGAACATTGGCCAAAGATTTAACGAAGTCACTGGTGTAGCTTCTTTAGAATATATATATTCTTCTTCTCATAAAGTTTGTAGACCGCCCGTCTAAGTACTCCCTTGTCAAAGTTGTCAAGGATGGTTTAACGTCCCGGTTTTGCTTTTGAGACGGTCTCTGTCTTGTCTGATTTGTGTACAATATTGTAAACTTGTTGGTAAGACATACCAACAGCTCTACAAGTTCTGTAATAAACCCTTTCTAAACTAATGAAAGGTTTACCTCTGTCTTTTTCAAGCACAAAAAACTTATAAACCTTTGCAACAATTGACTGCACAACAGCTCTACAAGTTCTGTAATAAACCCTTTCTAAACTAATGAAAGGTTTACCTCTGTCTTTTTCAAGCCAAAAAACTTATAAACCTTTGCAATAATTGACTGCAAATAGTTGGCCATAGTGGACGCTGTGATAAAGATGTGCTTGCATGACGGGAAACTTTTTTATCAAGACATAACATTTATATTAATATTTCTTCAATAAAGAAACGATAATTAAGTAAAGTAACACAAACATTCAACATTTATTTGTTAAAGAAAAACGTTGATTCATATTTTTACACCACCTGTATTATTAGCATAAATGTAAAGACCATTTCAGATTTCTGTTGTTGAACTCTGAAAAAATCTTAAGTTGTTCTTTTGGTACCATATTCTCTCCTGTAAACTGCCCTTTAAATGCATGGGAATGTTAAATCGATTGAAATAAAAATTAGGTACACTATAGGCGAGTTGATATATTGACAACATAGTACATTTATCACCTTTATCAAAGTATTAAGGCTAAAAAGCAATTTTCTAGCATTTCCGACAGTACTTTAGTCTTTCATGTTAAATAGCTGTCTTTGAAACACAGCTTCTATTCCGAGCTGATTTGCTTTTCAGTCACTTCACGTCCAACGCCCAGCGATGACATTGGCATTATGTGATTTACACCAGCCATTAATGTTAAATAGCTGTCTTTGAAACACAGAAAGTATTCCGAGCTGATTTGCTTTTCAGTCACTTCCCATCCCACGCCCAGCGATGACATTGGCATTATGTGATCTGACAACGGAAAACAAATGGAAGTTCTTGAGCTTATTTACCCTTTGAAGTGTAGCGTTTCTACAACTTAACACATGCAAAATGATACATGTTCCTGTGGGCTTTGAAATTCTGAAGTCAAATCCGCAAATATATCAGCAATCCTACGTGCAAGGTACTTTAAAACAAGTTGCTACTGCTATTTGTAATCACTATTGACAGTCCCAACCAATATTTTGGTGAAGTTTTGCTCAAAAATATATATTTGAGAATTTTTGAGAGTGACATGTCGAAAATGGGAGACAACGCATTGATGGACTCATCTGAATATGTACAGGCAGTGCTGATGCCTAACACCAGTGAAAGCAATAAGAGTGTCTTTTGTAAACCGTCAGCAGCTAAAAAACAGAAAATAAATGATGACGTTTTTGAGACAGCTTCTGAAAATAAGGACACTCAGGACAGTAACACTGCAGTTTCTAACTTTGAGATTATGAACGCTATTAAAACCATGCATAATAGTTTCACGGATCTTCGTCAAGAGCTCAAGGACAGCGAAAAGAGAGTGGCCGAAAAAATGACTGACATTCTGAGGCAAGAAACGTTGAGGATAAGAAATGACTTTAAAGTGCAGATAAAGATGCTAACAGAGAAATTAAATCGGCTGGAAATCACGTCGGTAGGTAAATCAAATCAGCTGGCTTCAGTTGAGCATCGGGTGGAGAAGCTGGAGGCCGGAGGCATCCCTGTAAGTGAAGTACAGCGAAGTGTCATTGTTCGGAATCTGCCTATTGGTAGACGAGAAGCAGATGACCCCAAGGTGCTCTGTAATAGAGTAAATCAGGTAAAAAGGGACGGACTAAAACTGAAAGACGTTGTGAGTGCGACTCGTAAGACTCGTACTGACACGAAGCCGGGTGTGGTTGTTTGTGTACTGAACAACTACGAAGAGAGAAATAAACTCTTAAAGCATAAAAAGAATCTGAAGAATACCAAAGACTTTTCTCGGGTGTATATCGACGGTGCACTTTCCAACGAGGATCTTATTGCAAGGGCCAATATGCAAACGTTGATAAAGGAAATAGGAATAGAGAAAACATTCCGTTTCCATGGAAACCGGTTGGTTGCTAACAAAAACAAAGCCTAGGATCCTTTGCGGCTTGGACTCTGGAATGTAGGGGGCTGGGCACAACGAGATCTGGATAATAGTCAGTTCCGTGAACATGTAGTTAGTCATTTAAATTATGATGTGTTTGGTGTTTGTGAGACATTTCTACAGGGCTTTGCAAGTATTGCACTAGATGGGTATACCTGGTTTGGAAATAACAGGTTAAAAATCAGTAAACGTGCTAGGAGAGGCTCTGGTGGAGTTGGAGTTTTTATAAGAAATTCTCTACTAGAGTCATTTAGATTGGAAGTATTGGATCGTGAAGACGACGACATCATGTGGCTAAAGTTGATTCCATTCAGTGATAATAGTTTTAATATTGTGCTGTGTGTTTGCTATTTACCACCCCTGGGATCAACCCGGGCAAATGATGCGGAATTATTTTTTAATACGCTAC